AGAGAGGGGCAGAGAGGGGCAGAGAGGGGCAGAGAGGGGCAGAGAGGGGCAGAGAGGGGCAGAGAGGGGCAGAGAGGGGCAGAGGGAGAGAGGCAGAGAGGCAGAGACAGAGGCAGAGGAGGCAGAGGAGGCAGAGACAGAGGCAGAGGAGGCAGAGACAGAGGCAGGTGGATCTCCGAGAGTTCGGGGCCAGCCTAGTCTACGCAGAGGCAGAGGCAGGGTCAGGGGCAGCAGAGGCAGCGCCGGGGGGGGGGGGGAGATGTGTAGGAAAGCTTGCAATAGGGAAGTGTTCTATCACTGAGTTATACCCCAACTCAGTTAAAGTTACCTTACTATTTATACACTACTAATGCAATGATTATTCATTGAGGGTTACAGAACTAGGATTTTCATAAACAAGCAAGTCCAGTACAAAAAGACAGACACAAAAGAAACTAACATATACCATGTACTAATAATTGCTATGGCACCATAAAAAGCTATTTGTCATCAAAAGCAGGGGCATTAGTTTAGAAAGTTAGTCACAAAAGATTGTTGAGATGGTTCAGTGAATAGACGCCAGTCACCAGAACTGACATGGTAGACAGATATGATCAACTTTCTAAAAATATTCTCTGATCTCCACATGTGTGTTGTGACAGGCATGTGCTCACACACATACATACACATGAAAGACACATGACTATGACTGAATTAGAAGAGAATCCAACAGTTCTGAGATGATGAAGAATGACAATTTATACTTCAAAAGGATCACTCTATAGAACATGCTGTTGGACAAAGACAGAAGCAGGGAGACCTAGGTGGAAGCTACACCAGCAATTAGGTAGTTAAGCCAATATGGTAAGGTTTAAATAAATTATCAAGAGCAATCAGTGTTTAGCAATTTTAATATAATCACAACCTAAGTATCATTCAACTAAACTGATCACAAAAGTCTTTTCTTAAAATTAACTAAGTTGGGGGATGAGAGATGATTCAGTTATCTTGACTTCAAAGCACTAGGATCTGAGTTGCAATCCCTGAAACCACATTAAAAAAGAAAAGCTCATCAGGCTTGGGAGACAGAGGCAGGAGGATTTCTGAGTTTGAGGTCAGCCTGGTCTACAGAGTGAGTTCCAGGACAGCCAGGGCTATACAGAGAAACCCTGTCTCGAAAAACAAAAAACAAAAAACAAACAGAAAGGAAGGAAGGAAGGAAGGAAGGAAGGAAGGAAGGAAGGAAGGAAGGAAGGAAAAGAAAATCTCAGCATGGTGGTGCTTCTAATGCTAGGAAACTAGTAGAAAGACAGGCAGCTCCCAAGACTCACTGGCATTCCTACTTACCAACACCAAGGCTGACCTCCATGTACACAGGCATACACATACCCATGTACCTACACACACACACACACACACACACACACACACAGAGAGAGAGAGAGAGAGAGAGAGAGAGAGAGAGAGAGAGAGAGGGAGGAGGAAGAGGAGGAGGGGAGGAGGAAGGAAGGAAAGGGAGGGAGAGGGAGGGAGAGAGAGAGCACACTGTTGCACGGATGCTTACACATGCACACACCCAATTAATCAATTTTATTTCTCACAGTTGATTAAACCAGTGTATAAAAATACCTTATTCAAATGTTGTGCTATGTAGCCTCTTCCACATCCTATGTCCAGTGCAAGGGGGAAATCTCTGGAAAAAAATAGATGTAGAAGCTAAGCTTTGCAATAGAGTTCATAAAATAACCAAGGGCTAATTTACCTATGTAAAAACATTTTTGTAATCACTCCTTTCAGAAAATTCTATCATTTGCCTTTTCTGCCTTACCTGGTAGTATCTGCAGAAGGTATAATACATAGAGTGAGTCCGTCAGATCTAGTCACTAAGCCAAAGGCCCTAATACTGAACTCTGAAGAACCAGCCAGCCTTAGAGCAGGGGAGGTAGCTCAGCAGTACAGCTCCTACCTAGCATATGTGAGTCCCTGGGTTCAAGTATAAAACAGACAAAAAGGTTTGGAAATGGATTTGAAGAAGACACTTAATGAAGGCATTTGAATTCAATCATCCTGACAAAGATTGAAAACAAGCTAAATGTAAATTAACATGGAAAAAACTGGCAGAAAGCTCAGTGGTAGAGTGCATGCCCAGCATGTGCAAGGCCCTACTGCACTCTCTAGCACCGCAGGAAAAAACAAGGTAAGAACTCCTAAGTATTTTAGAATCTTAGGAGTACAAAAAGTTCCAAGTGTTTAGTGCTAAGTAAGTCAACTCAAAAATCCTCTTTTTCTTTAAAAATATATTTTTTAAATTCTCTGTAAAAGTAACTTTTATTCTCGTGGAGTAATTGTCGTCTCTGAGGCTTACTGCCTCCATCTGCTAACCTAGGCCTACTCTTGGAAGCTTCTACCCTCATCCAATCTAATTTAGGCCTAGAATGTTTCCAGTCTCTGAGACTAACTGCTGGATAAGATCACCCTTTCTAGTTCTTTCTAATCTCTGGCTAGCTGGGTCAACTCAGCTCTGACCCAAACTCCTCTCCCAGCTGACTTACTCAATTTGCCTTTTCTCTTGGCCTCTGAATTGCTCTGCTTAGCCTCACACTAACTCTAGCAATCTTTTCTAATCTGGCTCACTCTCATTCTCTTGCTCGTTCTGTCTTCACCTGTGTCTAGCTTGTTCTCTCTTCAAATTGTCTCTGTAAAACTCTCCTGGTAAAACTGTCTTTCTTTTTTTCTCTGTGTTGTTCCAATTCTACCTCTCAACAGTATTCCTGTACTACACTCTCTTCCTCCTGTGCTGTTTCTCCCTTAAGTAGCTTCCCTTTCCTCTCTCTTCTCGTGAAGAGTGGGGCATATCCTTTTCTGTCAAATCTTTCTCCAATTAATTTGTCACATTTTATGCCACTCAATTAGACATCATTTTCAAATATGGGTGATTCCTTCTACAAACTAACTTTACCTTCTTTGTTTGGGATTAAAGGTGTGTCCTCAGGGCATGTCTGTATTCTACCCAGAGGGATTAAAGGTGTGTGCTAAGGGCTGGACCACAACTAGAAACAGGTTCAAATATACTAGAACATAATAATTTTAATAATGCCAATGTTGACTGCAATGTATGTGTACCATATGCATGTCTAGTGCCCATGAAAACCAAAAGTGGGCTTTAGATGCCTTAGAACTGAAGTTACAGATGGTTGTGAGCTTCCATGTGGGTACTGAGAACGGAACCCAAGTCCTCTGGAAGAGCAGTCAGTCCTCTTAACTGCTGAGCCATCTTCCCGCCCCAACTCAAATATCTCATGTTAGCAGCAGCCAACACTTAGATTCAGTTTGTTTGAACCCAGAGCCAGAAGAGTGAATATCTATATTAGACTAGCTCCTCTAAATTGGTGAACACATCAACTGGAAGCCATGGGTTTTCTATAAAGAAAAGACAGTAGATCAAAAAGGACTGTCTTAAAAAATGGTTGCCATAACTGGGTTGGGGAGATGGCCCAGTTGATAAACTGCTTGCCATGCAAGCATAAGGTCCTGAGTCCAACCACCAGCACCCACTTAAGTTAAGCCTAAGTGTCACAGCCTGTGCCTATAACCCCAGTGCTAGAGAAGCAGAGAAAGGAGAATCTCTGGGGCTTGCTAGCCTGCCAGTCCAGCATAATGAACAAGCTCCAGGCAGTAGGAGACCCTGTCTCAAAAAAATACAATGAAAAGTGACAAAACAAGACATCCAATGTCAACCTCTGGCCTTCACATGCAAAAGTACATATGTACACACATACCTGCAACACATGTTCATACATACACACAAAAATTAATAAAAGATTATATGACAAAATTATAAAATACCAATACATAGATGGAAAACCACAAGTGACATTTTACTTGGTGTTCTATATCTTAATTATAAAGGAGGAATAACTGAATTTTAATTTTAAAATTAGAAATACATGAGTTCAAATTTTGGACCTGTAATTTACTAACATGTGACTGTAAGTGATTTAGCCTTCCTGGATCTGTTTCCACATCTATAAAATGAAAAAGTTGGGGTCCAGAGAGATAGCTCAGTGATTAAGAGCACATGCTGCTTTTGCAGGGGACCCAGATTCAGTTCCCAACACCCATATCAGGTGGCTCACAACTACCTGTAACTCTAGCTCCAGGGGTTCTGATGCTCTGTGGGCACCTGCATGCGCATATTATACATTCATATACTAAAGTACACACACACACACACAATCAAAAACAAGAAATTATTTTTCAGAAAACAGCAAATTGCTTTTACTACATATGAAATATTTAGGACAGTATAGATGTTTTTTAAAAAATGAGTTATTTGACTGATTTTAAGAGTACTAATTAGGTCTTAGCTCTCACAAATTATATTAAAATCTGTGTAGTTAATAAAACAGATCACTGATAATACAAACTACTCTGTGTTTACTTGTCTCTCCTTATGATACAAGGGATGGAAAATATAGGCTGTTAGGTACTTTAATAATAGACAGAACATCAACACATATTAAATAATTTAATTGCAACCACTAAATGTTTAAATTAAATTATCTTTTCAGTCATAATCACAAGAGTCTTAATGGACCTGGCTTTAATATCTTAAGGGCTGTGTCACAGAATTTGTAAAGTCCAAAATGAAAATCAAAATTTAATGTTTCATTCATCAAATCACAAACAAACTATAATTTAGGCAAATGATTATTGGTTGATGTTGGTCATAGGTGCATAGTAGAGAGAGAAGCTTACCAAGAAGTTAAGCCTTCATTTTCCCAAAGAGCAGAGAGGTTCAGCCTTCTTGGAAAAGACTGACCCCTGCTAGCGCACTCCAGTTACTTTTACTCAATCACTGGGGCTGGGAAAGGTTCCAACTACCAAAGTTAGCTAGCCCTTGCTGCCTGAGAGAGCAGACAGCCACACAAATCTCAGTCCCTCTGACCATGGCTAGCCATAATCAAAAGTAAGAACTCCAGGTTTGCCAGGAGTGCCTTAGGGCCAAGGTTTGTGGAACTACAGTTTCTCACATAACACCAAATGTAGACTACCCAGGGAAACAACAGTTCTTCAAGGTTTAAACAGTCTCCAAACAATTTCTCAGCCTCTACTTATTAATGGAAATGTAGCAAGGGCTTTGATGAAACATTTCACTCAAAGCCAGACATAAAGGCTTTACTTTACATACCACTACAAATGATAATAGTAAACTATTTTCGTCGTTAAAAGAATTAGTGACAAAATGAAACATGGAGCCAGGCGGTGGTGGCGCATGCCTTTAACCCCAGCACTTGGGAGGCAGAGGCAGGTGGATTTTTGAGTCCGAGGCCAGCCTGGTCTACAAAGCGAGTTCCAGGACAGCTAGTGCTACACAGAAAAACCCTGTCTCGAAAAACCAAAAAAAAAAAAAAGAATTAAAAATGAAACATGGAGGCCTATCTATAATAAGGAAGTATTTTTACTTACCAATTATGACTCCTTTTAATTGTGCCTAAAATATAGCTGGAGAATCTGTGATTTAAAGAAATCTTCCCTGCTTTTAAAAGACAAATGTGATAAATCTATCCCATCTAGTATAATTCAACAAATGTCACTTAACAAAAAGGAGTGATTTGCTAATACCAGAGAGTAACAGTAATATAAAGCCATCATTTGGCAGTAGTTCCATTACATGGTGACAAGCCTGAATCAGTAAAGCTTTCATTATGCCTAAAACAAGAGCAATAGATCCATCAAGATTTTTATGCTACTTAATTGAAGATGTTTTCTCAAGTCATTCCCTGTAGAATCTGTATTACTATTACCAATACTTAAGATAAAATGGGCAAAGTCTTGTGGGTCTCCTTTTCCTGGGGAGGGGAAGAGGAGGGGTTGGGATGGGGGAGCAGAAGCAGAAAGCTCCTAGGAAAAAGCTTCAGTGAGATAGCCCTACTTTATTGATCCAGGGGTAGGGTATGTAAGAGCTCTTAGGTTTAGAGGTGGAAAGGGTCCATTGGTGATGACACGGTACCTCATTATCATATGGGAAGGGGGAAAGAGTGAGACTCATGCTTCATGATTCATGCAGCGTTTGCAGGAAGCTCTTCGCAAAGTTATCCTCTAAATAAGGTCAGGCATCTGTGCTCAGAGACACTACAAAACAGGCCAGGTAGAGAAAAGGAAGCCCCACTGAGAAAGGGAGTCCTCCATTCTGCACTGAGCTTAGAAAGCTATCCAGACATGATGGGGTGCAACCTTAATAGCAGGGTTCTCCAACAGGTCTCACCTATACTAACTAGAAAACAAATCTAGATAGGCTTCTCCTTCACTCAAATGGCAAGAGATTCTATTGCTCATCTTAATAAAACTTAAACTTATGTTTAATAAATCTTAAAATTTCACATGTAGTCCATTTTTTAGTTCCATATTTTCAGCAATCTCTCTAATACTAAATTTAGGCTAAATCAAATAGATCAGCCATTTAGGCTTGAAGAAAGCTACAGGCTTTACATTCATAATTTTAAAAAAAGATAACAATGAAGAATGAAGAAAATGGCATTTGCTTTCCCAGACAGGAAAAAAGAATAACCAGGAGTGGCTGTGCATGCTTATCATCTCAGCACTTAGAGGCTGAGGCAGGATTGGTGCCTCCTGGGCTACATAATGAGACTCTATCTCAAAAATCTAAAAAGACTGAGTTAAATCTCTAATCCTGCCAATACTCTATGTAACAAGCTCAGGTCATTTAATATCAAGTCGCCATTCAACAGCAGATGCTGATCTTAGCCAGGAGTGGAGGAGCATGTCTGTAGTCTCAGATGCTTAAGAAGCTAAGGAAGGAGAACTGTCCAAGCCCAGTTCAAGGAATGGCCTAGGAGTTACAGCAAGAGTCTGTTTTGGGGAAAAGAGATGGAGAGACTAAGAGACAGAAAGATAGACAAGAAGAGGGAAGCGAGAGAGAAAGGACCAGGGAGGAAGAGAGACTGCATCTCACTGAAATAGCATCTCCTACCTGGCTATGTCATACACACGGTCTGCAATCCGACTTCCAACCTGAAAGATGTCAAGAGTCAACGGGTTAAATACACCAGGTAGGTTTAACAGAAAAGTAACTTTTCCCCCTAAGATTCAGTTTATGTTTCAGAACAGAAGGGCTTCCTTCTATCCCATTTTCTATTGTTCCACAGCAACTTTCTTTACAAATCCTGAATATGGACATAATAAAATACCCTGGAAACAAACGGACGCAAATTTAACAAAATCAAGATTATCAATCTGCTGGGCGTGGCAGTTTACGTCTATAGTCCTACTATCCGGGAAGGAGGGTTATTACAAGTCTGGGCCAGGCTGGAATACACGGTGACATGAGTTCCAAGCCAGTGTATATTACAAAGACCCTTGTCTCAAAAACTCAAAACCAACATCAACATCCGGGGGAGTGGGGCTGAGGCAGGTGGATTTCTCTCAATTCGAGGTCACACTTGTATATATTACATGAATTAAGATAGCCAGTGCTTGCAAATTAGGAAACACCAAGTGTGGAAAAGTATAGACGACCATTTCCCAAGCACAGCATAAAAGAAGTTGTATGCTAAGTACCAGCTTTCACTGGCGTCATCCAGGATGAAGTCTACTATCCACACACTGCACTTAGTCTCTTATAAACAAGTTGTGGCTATTATTTGAAAGCTCAGAATATTATTGTTTTTGTTTTGAGGGCTTGATGGGCAAGGTATTAGGTACATCGAAGCCTTTCCACTGAGCAGCACACTTTGTACAATCCCAGATGGCAATACGTTTTGCTTATTTCAAAAATGATTCTCATATACCTTACTGAATATATTCTACTTCTGCACACTCACAAGGCTTCAGTCAGGTTTTAATCCAGATGCTTTTCTTGAACAGAAAGCAGGGACTTATTGAAGATCCTTTCGGCCTTAGGAGTCTCTTAGACTAAGAGACTCGTCCCATCTCCCATCTCGGCTCCACTAATCTCTCACAGTTTTCGCCATAGCAGCCATTCTTGACCATCGCAGTCACCAACGCCACTACCTCACTTTTTCTTCAACTTACTTTAGCTGCAATTACATTCCCTGTCTATATGTGTCTCCCGCTCTCTCCTAAATGATCTGCAAAGGTGGAAATCCTGCTCTGCCCTGGAAATCAAGCAGGGTTTAGCTAAGCGAATGAATGACAGCCAGGCATGCTATAAAGAGCCTCTCGTCCTTCCAGAATAATCGGAAAAGCTCAGGAAGGTGAAGCTTCTCAAGGTTACACGTTGGGTGGGCGGGTCCGTCCTACCAGGCTCCGCGCCTCCCTCCGTCGCGGTCCCACAGTCTCACCTCCTCCTTCAGGTAGTCAAATTTCATGGGATCGGGCTGCCGGGCGGCCCAATTCTTCTGCTTCCTCTTCAACTCCCTGTCGAAAATGTTTAGGGCTCTGGGAGAGGGGCTGCCCGAAGGAGGGACACCGGAAGCGATCTCCCTGCGACCGCCGCTCGCTGCAGAGACCGTTGGCCCTCCAAACCGTGGGCATAGACGCGAAAGAACGACCTGTCGCAGCATCTCCAGCCGCGGCGCCACAACAGGGCATAGTTTCTATTATGCGCATGCGCCAACGGGACTACGACTACCGTAGTGATACAAAATTGTTCCAAGGAGGAAGGTTGAAGTAGTTTGGTCTAGCTCGCATGCCGTTACGACGGAGCGTCGCGCAAAGGATTGTGGGAGTGCGCTCCATGTGAACTCAGACTGGGATCTGAAAAGAGTAGCGGGAGACTGTGGTTGTTCGTCGGGATCGCCTTGGGATTTGTGAGTAGTGCCCCTATTTTTCGGTTCCTTTCTGGCCTCATTCTTCTCTTCAGGACTGCTTCTCGAGAGAGAGAGAACGCAGCCGAGTAACTTGCCCCGAAAGTTTATGAAGTGGGAAGATCGTTCGGGACGGGTAACCTGGAGCTCCCAGGCCAGAGGATGGGTGGACTGTAGGGATAAGGGGAAGTGTTTGACGTGAGGTCCAGTTGCTTTCGCTCCTCTGAACGTCCCATGTTTGCCGTGGGGTTCCCAACATTTACAAGCGCTACAGTTGAGTGAGGTGGTAGCTGTATCGTAAAGTTGTTCCAAGTGTTGTAGTACGCCTGGAGTTTACATATGCTTCCGTGAAGTTTTTCTTTTTTCTCATGAAAATGTAAAGGACTCTGAAGTAAAGCAACACTGGCCTGTGTGATGACGGCACACACCTGTATTCCTAGTATTGAGGCCGAGACAGACATGATTGCAGTTCAAGGCTAGGCTAGCCTGCTGTCGCAGAAGTGAGGAGCGTAAATACTGTCTTGTTTGGTCAGTCACCTTTTATTCTTACAGAGACTTCTATCTTGTTTGCAAAGTTGAAATCTGGAGAAATCAAACCATCAGAGACTGTTTACAAAGGAACATTAAGCATACAAACTTTTATATGTGTTTATAGCCTATCGAGACCTTAGTCACTTCGAGAATAAAATCATTTAAAAAGTGACATTTGGTCCGGGCGGTGGTGGCGCACGCCTTTAACCCCAGCACTTGGGAGGCAAAGGTAGGTGGATTTCTGAGTTCGAGGCCAGCCTGGTCTACAGAGTGAGTTCCAGGACAGCCAGGACTACACAGAGAAACCCTGTCTCGAAAAAACAAAAAGAAAAAAAAATGACATTTGGGACTTAATAGATGGCTTAGTTCTTAAGAGCACTAACTGCTGGTCTTCCAGTGGACATAGGTTCAATTTCCCAGCATCCACTTGATGGCTGACTACTGTCCAGTCAGTAAAACCAGTTCCAGGGCATCAGAAGCCCTCTTCAGGCATTCATGGGCACCAGGCACAGAGTAGATATACAGACGTAACACCCATACACATGGAAAATTTTATTAAGAAGAACGTGACATTTGTTAACTGTAATTTGAGTCTTAACCGAAGGTAGGATTCACAGAAATAGCACTAAGGTAAATCTGGTTTGACTCTTTTTTTTTTTTAAATACTCTTCATTAGTTATGAGTATTAGTTAGGAGATCGAGTTGTAGAACCAAAAGCTGTTACAAATATGAAATAAAGATTAGCAAAGAGAATGAAACTAGACTATGAAAACCCAATTAGACCATCTGAGATTTCGGAATCTTTTGGTTTTGTCTGCATGTGTCTGTTGCATATGTAGATGCTCACACCACCCCACATGCCCATGTACTTGTATGTTCCTGTGGTTGGAAGGGTACTTATATATGGAGCCAGAGGTGATGGCTGGAGTCTCCCTCAATTGCTCTCCACTTATTTTTTTCCTTGAGACAGGACCTCTCATTGGAACCTGAAGCTCTTCAAGTAAGCTAAGTTGGTTAATTAGGGATCCTCCTGTGTCTGCCTGCCCCAACTGCCCAGCACTGGGATTATAGGCATTCAGAATTTTTTGTGTGTTTAAATCTACATGCACTTTGCAGCAAGCACTTTACTGATTCAGCCTTCTCCCCTACCTTTGGTTTCTTAAAGCAGTCTCATTATGTAACCCCGACTGACCTCCAATTCCCTATGTAACTATATAAGATCTGGCCTCAAACTCATAATCATGACTCTGCCTTCAGAATCTTGGTTTTACATATGTGACTCTATGTACCAAGAATAATCTTTTAATTAATGGCAAGTACAAGCTAGAAATACAAAAATTTCTGAGGGCAGTCAGCTACTAAACATTGCCCTCCCCCAAGCCCTAGGATTCTGTTTGGTTTACAAGTTTATTTCAAGCGATCTGTAATGGAAGGGTTATATTTTGCTATGTCTTTCTTTTTTATATCTGACCCAGAATAGTTTGAGTAGGTGAAATTAAGTTGTCTTAATTTTGTACATTTAGAGAGAGAGAGAGAGAGAGAGAGAGAGAGAGAGAGAGAATACATACATACACAATGAACAGATGTTTTAAAAATTATTTTAATTATTAACCATTCATCATTGTAATATTTATTTATTTATTTTTAGTATTTGGTTTCTCTGGATATTTCTTCATTAAGACTTTAAAAATGTCATCCAAACAAGAAATAATGGATGACCAACGGTTCAGGCGTGTTTCAAAGGATCCCAGATTTTGGGAAATGCCAGAAAAGGAACGAAAAGTCAAAATTGACAAGAGGTTTCGAGCCATGTTTCATGACAAAAAGTTTAAATTGAACTATGCTGTTGATAAAAGAGGGCGTCCTATCAGCCACAGCACTACAGAAGACTTGAAGCGCTTCTACGACCTTTCAGACTCCGATTCTGATCTCTCTGATGAGGAAAGCAAAGTACTCAATCAAACGAAAGTAAAGCAGAAAAAAAAGCAGACCAAAAAAGAAGCAAAGTCAAAAACGCTGATTGAAGAGGAAAAGAAAGAAACCAAGAAAACTGACCAAAAGGATTCTGTAAATAAAAATGACTTAAATAATTTTGAAAGAATTCAGAAAACAAAAAACTCACATAAATCTCAGAAGATAGATTCAGAAATAAGTCCCAAGAAGAATAGTGAAGAATTTCTACAAAGTACAAAAATGAAAAGGAGTACCACTGACCACAGTGTAGAAGCTATGCCCAAAGGAAAACTAAGGACCAAAGATTCCAGTACCTCTGAAATGGAATCTTCAACAGTCAGTTGTTCTAAGTCAAAAAGAGAAAAGCAATCAGGTTGGTTGGCAGTACTGATTCCTTTGTATTATACTATTTTACTGTGATCTTTTTAAAAAGTAAACAGTGTTTTTATAGTATGTTGAGAAAAGTCAAGTGTTTATTTTAAAATATAAAGTTATGAAAGAAAAATATGCAATGATTTTCTCCTCTTTTGGTACCAAAAGACAAACATGAAAGCTTGGTTGAACTATTTTGGTTTGTGGTGAGCAATGCCGAGAGCTGCTATATGTTATTGTCTAAGAAGAGATGCGATTGAAGAAGGAAAGTAGAGTTGGGTACTCATTAGTTCATTCAGCTACTGAGTGACAACTGCTGTAAGTCATGGTTACCTCATTTAGGGTTATTGTCAGCTTATATGATGCCTTTGTGCAAGTTAGAAAATTGCATGTTCTCTGAACACACAAATACAGAGTTCTCTCTGGGGTTCATTGTTTGGTGAGAGGATGGCACTTTTTAGTGAAGCAACACATTGATTTCCCTTGAGTAAGCACAACACCCCAGAGCTCATGACTTGAATGGAGTTAGATTTGGTTTCAACTCTTCTTTCCCTTTTGTAGATGCCTTTAGGTAGCCTACTAAACTCTGTGACAACCTTGGTCTAGTGATGCCATCCACTAGAAATACATAGTGATAGATTTCCTAGTAGTGGCATTAAAACAAAATAAGCAGATGAAATTTTTTTTATATCCACTATATACAAATTTCATCCCTATGTAATTAATGATAACAAATTTATGTTTTTGACTGTTAACTACAATGTTGGATGGCATAGATCTAAGGTAGAAAAAGTCAAAACTGTACTACAAAATATTGTTATAGAAGGGAGCATAAAGCCGGGCGGTGGTGGCGCACGCCTTTAATCCCAGCACTTGGGAGGCAGAGGCAGGTGGATTTCTGAGTTCGAGGCCAGCCTGGTCTACAGAGTGAGTTCCAGGACAGCCAGGGCTCCACAGAGAAACCCTGTCTCGAAAAACCAAAAAAAAAAAAAAAAAGAAGGGAGCATAAATGAAATTGAAAAAATTCAGAAGTAGTCACTCAAATGTAATCAGAGAAAAATTCCTAAGGAATACATTATTTTTATTGGGATTGGAAGGAGAGAGGGGATTAAGTTTGAGGAGCATAGAACTTTTTGAGCAAATTTAGGATTGGATATGTTTAGAAAGATTAGTGGTCCCACTCTGTTAGACAGTAAAGTCTTGAAGAGGTTTGTAGTTTTAAGCCAAATAGTATCTGCAAGGTCTTTCATAAATTTCTCCATGCGTCCTGACATGCTGATAAATGTCTATAATCCCAGTACTTGGAATATGAGTCACAAGGATCAGGAGTTCTAGGTCATTCTCTAGATCACATAGATCTCAAGGCCAGCATGGTCTACATGAAACCCTGTTTTAAATTAAAAGCAAGCATGATGGCTCAGCAGATAAAGGTTCTTGCAGCTCAAACCCTGCGTCATGAGTTTAATTCTCAAAATCCATGTATATGAGGGAGGAGAGAGAACTATGAGATTGTCCTGACTTTCACACATGCACGATGGCATGTATGCCTCCTCCCCACGCCCCATGCACAAGGACATCATACACAGGCATGCAAACAAAAATTTTTTAAAAGCTTTTTTCATATTTGTATGTGTACTATGCAGGTCAAAGAAATAGGCATTGGGTTTGTTGGAACTGAAGTCACAAATGTAAACCATGTGTATTGAGAATCAAACCCAGATCCTCTGCAAGAGTAGCAAATGGTCATAACTACTGGCCTATAGCACCTGCCTTCCTATAGACATGTTTTAATGCTTTAATATGGCACATTAAGTCATAGATTCATTATCAATAATTTCTCTTTGTTTATGAGCCCATCCAAGGCATTAAATCTTACAAATTCCTTCTTTTGCCTTTCCCTTGTTCAATGTTTTATACATTGTAGGCAATAAGTATTTGATTAATGAATAAATATAAAAACAAGATTAAAATAAAAACAAATTACATTCTTCATCTTAAGATTTAAAATTTACTTTTCATGCTTTAAACTTATAATCTCTTGAGTAAGCCGAAATAGTAACACCAGCTTAAACATAGTGTATAAGCTATTTACACATGCAGAGGTGATTGCTTTTAGAAGTGGAATATGAGCCCTTCCAGATTTGTGAAAGAAAAGTTAAATCCTACTTCAGCAAAACATCTTGGTATGTAGCAAACAGTGATATAAGAGTTAGCAGAAAAATTTGTACTATTTCTATTTAATGATCTCATTCATAATGCAACTTCTTTTCTCCATTATGTATGAATAGTTAGAAATTTTATCTCCAGCCCACACTTTACTGAGCCTATCTCTTACAGTAAACAGCCTTATTGATGTTTTCTGTTAAATGACTCAGGCACTTTGTTTTGTGGTTCTATGGATCAAACACAGTGCTTTGGCATGTTAGGCAAACACTGCCATTAACCTTGAAGGTGCTTTGAATTCAGATATCCAGAACTCATCTGAAATAAAGTCTCTTCATCGAGTTAGTTATTTTCCAGTGTTGCATATCTAACCAGCTAACTGTGTCAGTAAGTCAGGAAGGTGGGACACATTGACTATTCTAAAACCCCTGTTCCCCATATCAAATGCCCCTGTCACTGTAGCATCTGAGTTTACTAAAGCTTTTTGCTTTGCTACTGCCATAAGCTTTATACTACCTTCACTTCATGTCTAGAGGACTGTAGTGTCCTGTTTTTATTATTCCTACCCACATGACTCCTCCAGTTTTTTGTGGTGTAGTTCAGATGACATCTTCAATGTGCTAATCTCGTAGTGTCCTCCATTGGAAATGGAGCAGTGGCAAAGCCAATCTCCTCCATTATACTTCCTTGTTAACTCCTCGGACCTGTGGTTACTTGATTCCTTGCTGGCCACAACTCACACATGATTGCTACTTTTTTGTAATTGACAGATCTTTACAGATGCATTTCCTACTGCTTGGAACAAATTTCCTTCAGTTTTTTTTCACTTTGGTTTCATCCTTTAGTTAGCTGCTGAGTAACCACACTCTTGGAAACTTAGTGCTTTTAGAGTAGTTTCATTGTTGGTATATTGATTTGATTATTTATTTTAATACTTGTCACCTAGTCATCAACTGGAAATTAATTGAAAACATTGATAATCCTTTTTTTGGCCAATGATTATGTATTAGACAGCACAAAGCAAGTATTCCACAAATACTAAATGTGTATATAAACCTACTTATATCATCTTATATGTTATTATTTCACTTAAATAACTTGGTATAGCATGAACTTTACTAAACTTATATTCCTTTTCTCTGTTCTGTAAAAGTTATGTTTTTACTAGATCTAATGTCAATAATTGGTATTTAATTTCTATGTCTCCTTCTTCCCGCAATATGCTCTATTGGCTCCAAAAGACAATGATGGTAGAATGCTTGACAAAGATGCCCTGGAGGAAGATTCAGACGGTGCTAGTGGACTAGGAAGTGATGAGGAGTCTGAAGATGAAATCACAAGTGACGATAGAACCTCAGCCGATGAAGATGAGGATGAAGAAGAAGAGGAAGATAGTGAGGAGGAGGATGAAAGTGACAGTGGTCCTGATCTTGCAAGGGGTAAAGGAAATGTAGAAACTAGTTCTGAAGACGAAGATGATTTGGCAGATTTATTTCCAGAAGAACCTGGTTTTGAACATGCTTGGAGAGAATTAGATAAAGATGCTCCTCGGGCTGATGAGGTAACATCTGCAATAAGATTGTTTGTGAATAATATCACAATTAGCTTTTGTGGTTGATGGGATTGATGTCATTAAATTAAGTAGAAAGGAACTAGAGGGCTAGTTCAGTGCTGGAATTCTCAGCTAGCATGGGTGGGCTAAAGCGGGGCATAGTGGCATACACCTAGAGTAGCATCACTTAGGAAGCAGGAAGGTTGTTGTAAGTTCAGGGTCGTTGGCCTGGAGTATAAACCTGCTCAATGAAATCCTGTCTCAGAAAAGAAAACTAAACAAAAAGGAACCATTAAAAAATAAGTGAGAAAAGCTTTATTGGTGAATGTTTGTGAGGATCGTTTGTTGTGGATTGAACCCAGGACCTCCTGTCTGCCACTGAAGATCTCTACCATTGCCATATCATCAGACCCTGTGATAATCATGATTAAGATTAAAATTTCTTGAGGACTCGAGATAAACTCAGTGGTACAGCAACCTGGCATGTGTAAGCCTTTAAATTCAATACTAGCACAAAAAAAAATTGACCATGTAAAGTTGTGTATTTTGCCACATCACTTTCACACATATATGCCAGGATGTTGTTCCTACTCATCCTCCTTCCATTGGCCCTCTCCATCCCTCCTGCCCTACTCTGCTTGTCCCATTGGTCACCCCACATAGTTCCCCCTTCTGCTTTTAAATGTCATGTACTCCTTCATTCTCTCTTCCCTCCCTCCTGTAAAATATCTTCCTCCACTCTCATGGACCCTTTCTAGTTTCATGATGTAGATACACAAATATAAATCTGGATTTAGCAGGCTGGAGAGATGGTTCAGTCCATAAAGTGCTTGCTCTGCAAACATAAGGACCTGAGTTTCAGTGAGACAAAAATATTATGATCTTTAAGGCTCATTGGCCAGCCAGTCTAACCAACTAGTGAGCTCCAGATTTGGTGAGAGACCCTGTCTTTAAAAAAATAAATAAGGAAGGAAATAACATGGAGCCAGGCATAGTGACACATGCTTCAATCCCAGCACTTGGGAGGCAGAGGCAAGTGGATCTCTTGAGTTCTAGGCCAGCCTAGCCTAATAGCAAGTTCCAGGACAGCTAGAGCTACGTAGTGAGAAACCCTGTCTTTAAAAAAAAAAAAAAAAAAAATAGTAATTATAGCATGTAGAGTGATTCAGGAAGAAACATCAGTGTCAACCTCTGAATTAATTATATGTTAGTTCACATACACATAAATACAAAAAAATTAAAACCCAATGAAAAAAAGTATTTGGTATTTATCTTCTTAGAATAGCATATCTCATTTAACACAATTTCTAATACCATCCTTTTTCTGCAAAAGTCATAGTTTTATTTTTATTTTTGCCTTTTAAAATTTATATTTGTGGTGTGTTTGTGTGTATGTATGTGTATGTGCATGCATGCATGTGTGTAGGTCACAGGCAGACATCAGACGTCTCCTCAATTGTTTTCCACCTTATTGTTAAGAGAGGGTCAGAGCTCACTGATTGACCAGCAAGTCTGAAGGACACTCCTGTCCTTGCTTTACTCTAACACTAGGATTATAGGCATACTCAATCTTTTACATTTTTATTTGGGTGCTGGGATCAGAACTCAAGTCTCAGGCTTATGCAGAAAACACTGGTGAACTGAGCCAGCAATCCAGCAATCTGAGTTTTTGGTTTTTGTTTGCATCTCTGTTTTTTAACATTTTTATTGAACATATATTAATTATATGTAATAACGGATTCGTTATGACTTGTTCATACATGTGTGTGATCTATTTTAGTCACTTCCATCTACCATGATCTTTTTCCCACGCCCACTGGTCTACTTCCTCTTGGGTCATAGGCCCTAACAAGGAAGCTACAGCTGCTTTGCTAAATGGATGCCTCCAAGTAGTTTAGTTTATTCCCATAAATTGTCAGCTTTGTCAGCTACTTCTTTTTACAATGAGCTGTAGCAAAGTGTACAAAGTTTACACTGGTCAAATCTTGATAATAAGTGGCTTGAGTGCTCAGCTATAAAGAGAATCAACCTCTCTCTCTCTCTCTCTCTCTCTCTTTCTCTCTCTCTCTCTCTCTCTCTCTCTCTCTCACACACACACACACACACACACACACACACACTCTAAGTTGTAGAGAACATTCTAGGAGACAAGGTACAAGGCCTAAGAGTTTTCAGGTAGAGCCTTTAAAAACCTCTAAGTACATGATCATGTTGTTGAAAATGGGGGATTTGACTTCTTCCTTTCCTGTATGTATGTCTTAAGTCAGTGGTTCTCAACCTTCCTAACGCTACACCATTTAATACAGTTCCTCATGTTGTGTTTGATCCCCAATCATAAAATTATTTTTGTTGCTACTTCATAACTGTAATTTTGTTTCTGCTATGAATCTTTTTTTGTTTTTTTTTTTTTTTGGTTTTTTGGGAAACGGGTTTTCTTTGTGTAGCCCTGGCTGTCCGGGAACTCACTCAGTAGACCAGGCTGGCCTCGAACTCAGAAATCCGCCTGTCTCTGCCTCCCAAGTGCTGGGATTAAAGGCGTGCGCCACCAACGCCCGGCTTTCTGCTATGAATCATAATGGAAATATTTTTGGAGAGGAGGGTTTGCCAAAGGGGTGGAGACCCACAGGTTGAGTTAAGTACTTAAGCTTTAAGTACTATTGTAAATCAGAGTAGAGAAACTAGACACCATTATCTCCTTCCTGACTTTAGAGGAAGTGCTTTTAATTTTTCCCCATTTATTATAATGTTGGGTATACATTTGTCATATATAGACTTTATTATGTTGAGAATTGTTCCTTCTATTCTTAGTTTCTTTAGGGGTTTTGTAATGAATTTAGGTTGATCTTTGTCAAAGGCCTTTTGAGACAGAACCTTTCTGTGAAAGGTTGAACTTGTGATCCTCCTGCCTCTTCCTCTGCAGAGCTGGGATTTCAGTTATGTCCCATCATGCTCAGCAAGAATCTCTACAGAAGGAATTTAAAATACATGAAAGTTTTAAACTTGTTTTTGCTAGCTGTTTATATTTATGTTCTTACTGTACAATAAGGAAATGGTCTAGGGCAACCTGTTTCCCCTCTCCACACTGATAGACTATCTTTAAAAGCTGCTGTGGTTAAAGCTTCAATTCGTGCTCTTACCCTGGTTCAAGAATTCCAAAAACCCAGTTTAGTGATAGTGCTTATCTGTTGTGGATTTACTGTTGTTTGCCTCACACTCTCTTTGCATGTTAAATCAGCCAAATAACATAGATTTTAGAATGAGAGAAAGAAGATAGTTCATTGTTAATCTCTGGTTTTGTTTTTTGTTTTTTGTTTTTTTGGTTTTTCGAGACAGGGTTTCTCTGTGTAGCTCTGGCTGTTCTGGAACTCACTCTGTAGACCAGGCTGGCCTCGAACTCAGAAATCCGCCTGTCTCTGCCTCCCAAGTGCTGGGATTAAAGGCATGCGCCACCACCGCCCGGCCAAATCTCTGGTTTTTCAAGCATTGAAAATTATATAGATCCCAGCACTTAGGAACCTGAAGCAGATGGATCTCTGTGAGTTCAGGCCAGCCTGGTCTACGCAGTGGGTTTCAGGACAACCCTAGAGCTACATAGTGAGATCCTGTCTTTAAAGCAAGAGGAAGGGAGAAAGAAAGAAATGATAAAGATTCTGTGATATTTACTAATACTTCAACTTTTTCAGATTACACACAGACTAGCAGTTTGCAACATGGACTGGGATAGATTAAAGGCAAAAGATCTGCTGGCTCTGTTCAACTCATTTAAGCCCAAAGGAGGAGTTGTATTTTCTGTGAAGGTGAGAATTAATTTCATTTAAAGTAAATATTTCTAGGTGTTTTAACTTAAATCTTACTTTGTTTCTAATTATGCTGACTTAATTTCCTCCTAAAAAATATTTTATTAATCTGAAAATTGTATGATGCAATTGAGTATGAAACTGGTGTGTAACAGACAGTAAAAGAGGCGAAGCAATTTTTATAACTTTTTAATTCTTTCCTTTTATATTTTAGCTTTGTGCATGTGTACACATCTCTCTATGGAAGTTAGAGGACCCCTTTTAAAAGTAGATTATTTTCTTCCACCATGGATTCTGGAGATGAAGTGGAGATTGTTATTGAAGATGTTCTGCTCTGTTTCAGTCCACATCTGTTTTTGTCTCCATCTCTCTCCTAAATTATTTATTTTAAAGGATGCATTATCTCATGTAGTTAGAAATGAGTTTTGCTTTCCTGCAGTGAGTTTGAAATGAGTTGTTTTATTGAGCTGAGTCATGACTTTTGGTGTCTTAGTTTTGATAGGTCTGCATATTATATGAAAAAGAATGAATGAATAATAATATCAGTCTTATTTTTTGTGTTCAGATATATCCTTCGGAGTTTGGAAAGGAGAGGATGAAGGAAGAGCAAGTTCAAGGACCAGTAGAGTTACTGAGTATTCCTGAGGATGCCCCTGAAAAGGACTGGTACTGAGTCATTGTAGAATAGAAAACTAACCATAATAAAGTCATGTCCTTCATTCATAATCCTATTACCTTAATAGGACTGAAGTTTGCACTTAATTGTCCTAACACACTTAGGACAGCTTGATAAGTGATCACAGTTGGCAGTACATTACGCCAACATTTTGTGTGTATGCTTGGACATAATGATTGCAATATTGGAAAAATAGTTCACGATTGTATTATTGCTGTGAATTAGTTTTGTTTTTTTTTCTTAATTGAGTTAAGTAGAAAGAGAATTTTTGTTAGAAAACAACTTAAGTAGTTGTAAACCACTAGGTGGAGCTATATGTGCACTTAATAAAAATGATGATTAACTGGATTGTAACAAAAGTAGCAGAGAAAGACCTTTAAGGAACAGATTATAGTTACATGAAATTAAGCTTATAAAGTTGAGATCATGAGCCAGCAGGATGGACTAATGACTTAAGGTACTTTTCATCTAGTCTGACAATCTAAGGACCTGAATTCAATCTCTAGAACCCACATAGTAGAAAGAAAAAGCTGCCTCTTGAAAAAGGTTTTGTCTGACTTCCATATATACACTGTAGCACACATGCCTACAGATACACAAACAGGTGAACACAAAAATTGTTTCTAGAGCAAACATTTTTCAAGATGAGGCATTAGAGCTGATGTTTCAGAAGCATATTTTAAAGCTTTATCTTTATTAATTCTATGTATATATCTGTATGGGGAGTTGTATGCATAAGTGCACGTACCTTTTGAGGCCAGAGGGATTGGTCCTCTGGAGCTGGAGTTACAGATGATTGTATACATATTTTTGATTTAGTTTTTCCCCATTAGGGCCTCTAGAGAGAAGCTAAGAGACTACCAGTTCAAACGATTGAAATACTATTATGCGGTAGTAGAGTGTGATTCTCCTGAAACAGCAAGTAAGATTTATGAAGATTGTGATGGCCTGGAATTTGAAAGCAGTTGTTCTTTCATAGACCTAAGGTAATTCAGTTCATCTCTTAAAAACTGAATCTTACGGGGCTGGAGAGATGGCTCAGTGGTTAAGAGCACTGACTGCTCTTCCAGAGGTCCTGAGTTCAAATCCCAGCAACCACATGGTGGCTCACAACCATCTGTAATGAGATTTGATGCCCTCTTCTGGTGTGTCTGAAGACAGCTACAGTGTACTCATAAATAAATTAAAAAAAAAAAACCTGAATCTTACAATACGTCAAGATCAGAAGCACTCAAATATTTGAATGAGCAATACTTTCTTGCATTCTAGAAAATGAGTAAGAGAAAGCTAATAATAGTTGACAAGAATAACTTATAAGCTATTTTCATAATGTATATCCTTGAAATCATAATTCTTTCAAAAATTCTTTTTAAGATTTATTAATTTTTATTTTATGTGTGTGAGATCTCCAGGAATTGGAGTTGCAGGTAATTGTAAGCCACCAGGTAGGTGCTAGGAATCAAGCCTGGGTCCTCTGCGCAAGCCAATTGGTGTTCTTAACTGCTAAGCCATTTCTCCAATACCCCTCCCAGTAGTTCTTTATGAAATATATAGTAGATGCATTTTATGTGTGTGTGGTAGTATTCTCCCATGTAAATTATAAAACCTGATTATAATAACTATAGATTTTATTTACCTCTACTTTCCATCCCACATTCCATGGCCTGATATCTAAAACTCGTCAGTCACTATGGCTGATGTACATGCAAAGGCTAGTTATTTGTGAAATGAGATATTATTCTTAATCAGCCTTTAAGCTTTTCTTTATTTTCAGTGACCTTTCACATTTATGATACTCTGTATTATATTGAGACTGCTTATCCAGTATTGGTCTTAGGTCTCTGCAGTGAGCCAATGATGATATATATTACATCTAGGTTTTTGGAAACTGGCTTACATTAACTTGTAGTTCCTAACGCAAAGTCTAATTAATATATAGTTCTCTTAAATTTCATGAAATTTCAGATTTATACTTTATAAATTTCAGAGATATTGTGCTATTACATTTGTATAGAAACTTATATAGTATATAAACTATTATTAATTAGAAATTCTAAACCCTGGTAATCACTACTTTTTATGTTTAAATAATTTTTTCTTTTTTTTTCCTTTTTTTTTTCTTTTTTTTTTTAGATTTATACCAGATGATATTACCTTTGATGATGAGCCCAAGGATGTGGCCTCAGAAGTTGATCTAACAGCATATAAACCAAAGTATTTCACATCTGCTGCAATGGGAACATCAACGGTATTTCTTTCTTAACTTTTAAAAATGTATATATGGGCCAAGCATGGTGGCACATGCCTATAATCCCAGCACTTGGTAAATTGAACAAGGGTACCAGGAGCTCAAGAGTCACAGTGTAGAATACACGAGACCCTGAATTTTTTAAAAAAGAAAAATTAAATGTATAGTTAAACTCTTGCTTCTAGTAGCTTTAGAATTAAATAGTATTCTGAGTGTTTGTGCAGTGGATACTATACTGTTTGCATATGTTTTTCAGAGTATCCTTTTGTCTTTAAGCCTGTGGGCCCCAGAATGTGTACTTCAGTGGTAGAACACTTATCTAGTACATGTGGAGTCCCTGGGTTTTAGCTTAGAATTTTTTGTAATAGTTGTTAGTTATTAAGATTCTAGGGAATAAAGGAAGGACATAGCTTTACCTCAAATGACAGCTACAAAAACCTATTAACCATTTGGAATAGGACCACATTTTTATGCAGGTGTGATTTTCAAAAGTTTTATAAACAACAGAAGTAGAATAATTCAGGACTATTACTATCACTAGTAGTGATTACCAGTTATTAGTTTTCATACTAAAAACAAGCAGATTTCTGTGTATTGCAAAAATTTTTTGCTTAGCTAGATGCTTTTCTTTCTCTCACTCTAAATCTTTGCCTGCAGTGATACTCTATACAGTATACTGGCTTCGCTGCCTTTCCCATGTCATAGAGAAAGCTGATGTCAGAAAGCTACCACATCTCCTACATGCTGTGCTGTGGTAGGATATTCTGATATTGATTACTTAAAAAGTATAGTAAAACCCTAGAGTAAGTGAATTCTAAAAGATCCAACCACATCGTGCTATTTTCAATACTTAAGTACTTAAAATAGGCAGCATGTCTAACCAGCTAGTCTGTAGATCCTGCATCCAGTCTGTATCACTAATATCTGTTCCACTTACAGCAACCATTTGGCCCTTATCAGCACAGAATTAGTTATCAGAGTAGGGGTAACTCTGAATCCTGTGAATAGCTAAAACTTCTGAGTGAATGATAAGGATTTTTTTAAGGCTCTTTGATTAATTAGTACCTAACTTGTTGTCTAATAGGGAGAAATTGGACTAAACAGAAAAAACAAGGACTGGAACACATTGTGTTATAAAATCTCTCCTAGGACTCTTTAGCAAATAGATTTCTGTGTGTTGAATAGAGCAGTGCTTCTCAACCTATGAGTTGTGACTCCTTTGGGGGATCAAATGACCCTTTCACAGGGGTCACCTAAGACCATCAGAAAACACAGATAATATTTACTTTATAATTCATAACAGTAGCAAATTACAGTTATGGAGTCACAACAAGAATAATTTTACGGTTATGAATCACTACAACGTGAGGAACTATATTAAAGGGTTGTAGCATTAGGAAGGTTGAGAACCACTGGAGGAGACGGTAGGAGCTAGTCTCCCTCAGTCATATTTTCGGTGAACTTACTTGATACGATCTGAAAACCTTTGTCATCACTGACTCTTAACCTTTTTAAGAAATGATACCTATTGAGATTATGTTACTTTTAACAAATCTCATGTAGTCTGTGATTCTACTGTCATTTTAGTTCTCCAGATGAATAATCATATTCTCACTGGTTCATAATAGTATTAACTTTTTCTAGCATATTTTCTCCCTCCAGTTAATCTATTTGTTATACTCAGTAATGAGATATCATTCATATAGCTGAGAATTAGGGGGAAAGTACAAGTGGAAACATGTGATTTGGTCCACAAATAGGATACCATTTATAATTCATGCCATTCATGTCTGACTTTTGTATGTGTGTTGTAACTTTTTTTTTTTTCTTTTTTGAGTCAAGATTTCACTGTGTAGCCTTGGCTGGCCTAGTACTCTGAGTGTAGACCAGGCTGTCCTCAAATTCACAGAGATCTACCTCTTGGCCTTTGCCTCCAAGTGCTAGGAGTAAAGGCATGTGCCACCATTTGCCAAGCATGCTTTTTAACTTAATACTGAAAATCAAAGTTAACAGTATGCTTTAGTAAATCTGGTTTGTCTTTGTGCTGTTGTGTGTGGGTTTGTTTTCATTCTTGGGTTCAAGGTGGAGATCACTTGGGATGAGACTGATCATGAAAGAATCACAACACTTAACAGAAAGTTTAAAAAGGACGAGCTTTTGGACATGGACTTTCAAGCCTACTTGGCTTCCTCTAGTGAGGATGAAGAGGATGTGGAAGAAGCACCAGAAGGTATTTGCTAATTCTTTTATTGAGTGGTTAACAGAACTATGTCTGGGGAAAACTTAAGATCCCCAAACTGACTGCATAGCATAGTATACGCATAGAACTGTATACATGTATGTGCATAGATATACATTTGAAGGACTAACAGGATGTTCATTGGATAAAAGCACTTGTTGTACAAACCTGGTGACCTGACTTTGATCCCCAGAACCCATGATGAAAGGAGAACTGACTCACCAAGAGTTGTCTTCTAATTACCATATCCATACTTTAACATACAAATAATAATGATAACAGTAATATCAAGGAAGGTTTTAAAATAATTGTAAATTTTTTGCTAGTCTAATTTTCTATAGCAACAAAATTTATTTAAACTCTGGCTTAGTAAAAATGCCTAGCCTGTTAGACTGGTAAATACGTAAAATACCTTTATGCCCACTAACGTACACACTTTGTTGCTAATTAATTAGTTTTGAGATAATTTCTCTGTGTAGACTAGGCTTACCTTGAAGTCACAGATCACAGAGTTCTGTTCCTAAGATCTGTGATTTGATTATAGACATAGACCAACCACACCCAGTTTTTTCAGTGCTAGTGACTGAACCCAGGTCATTGTGAATGCTAGGCAAGGATTCCACTAAGATACATCCTCAAGCCTGCTAGAGGAATCCCAAATAGCTCTTGTACTTTATTATATATTGCTTGGGTGCATAACATGTCTTGCATTGTCCTTGTTTTGCATTTTCCTGACTTGCATAGTTCTTCCTTTTAAACCTCTTTCTTTCAGCTCTAAGTACATACTGAGGAAATGCCTGTAGTAAGAATGAACTACTATCAAAACTCTCTTGAGGTTTTATTTGTCTGAAAATGCCAAAAAAATTTGTTTTTGTTTACAAATCTAAATTGGATTCCCAAAGGCTTCCATGTAGCCACACTAATAATAACACTCCACTGACTTCTGACTTGACTGGTGGTTATCAAGGTTATCTGAAGATTTTATTTTAAGTGTGTGAGAGTGTGTGTGTGTGTGTGTGTGTGTTGAGCTTGGGATTTTTGGGGAGTCCACTTAATTCACAAAGTGGTATCTTTTTTCAGTATTGATGTTCTTAGTCATTTGATTTTTCTTCTGTCTTTCTAGAACTCTATTTAAATATGCATTAAATCTTTCCACTGTACCTTCTCTTGAGATTTTTGTTTGTTTGTTTGTTTGATTTTGTTTTTTGAGACAGGGTTTCTCTATGTAATGGCTACCTCTGACACAGTTCAGTTCTCTTACATTTTATCGTTTTTTGCCTGTACTTCATTCTGAGTATGTCTTTTTGTTTACAAATCTTCTAGTTTCAAAGTGTCTTTTCAACTGTATTCATTTTGCTGATACACCAGTCCACTGAATTCTTTATCATTGTTGTTATCTATTTCACTTCTAGAAACCCTGTATCCCTACTTTTTCACGTCAATAATATAACTTTTTTTGTAGGTTAGTCTCTTAAGTTTGATACTTGTCTGATACTCCCTCTGCATCTCTGCTTAATTTCAGGGGACTAATTGAACTTTGTCCCCTATAGTGGGGACTTTAACTTGTGTTCTTTTGATCTTTGATATAATAGTCTTCCAGTTTTGTTCACAGCTGTGGGTCAGGAAATAAGAAGTACTCAGAAACAATAGATCTTAAAACACTTGTGATCATCCTTGTGGTAGTCCATTCTCTATTCTTGATTTTGACATGATAATTCTTCACTAAGTTTTCAGATCTTTCAAACTTTTATTTTGTAAGTGCTTTGAAACTTTTAGAAATACTTTTAAAATAGTGTATTCAACTTAATATTCTCAGTGAAAAAGTTGATCTAATAAAAGCAGTAATTGTCAGGTCTACCTTTGTTTAAGAAATTTGATGATTGAAATGATTGTGCACTTATTAAATTGATCATGCTTTTTGCTTAGAACTAATTTTAAAAAATATAATACTATTTTTTCACCATTTAATTATTCAGTTATGATTTCTTTTTTCTTTTTTTTTTTTTTTGGTTTTTTGAGACAGGGTTTCTCTGTGTAGTCCTGGCTGTCCTGGAACTCACTCTGTAGACCAGGCTGGCCTCGAACTCAGAAATCCGCCTGTCTCTGCCGCCCAAGTACTGGGACTAAAGGCATGCACCACCACCGCCCCAGTTATGATTTCTTATTAGTCTCTCTCTCCTCCTCTACTCTGTGTGTGTGTGTGTGTGTGTGTGTGTGTGTGTGTGTGTGTGTGTGTGTGTGTTTTAATTATCTTCAATTATTTTTTTGAAACAAGAGTCTCTTCCTTTCTCACTGATGATAGAACTCACTAATTGGCTAAGCTGGCTGGCCACTGAACTTCAAATCTGTTGTGTCTCTGTTCTTCGAGTGCTGTGGTTAGAGACTTGCCCTGCTTTTACTTCAATGTTAGGGACTCAAACTCAGGCTGTTATATTATCATGACAGGCCCTCAACCAACTGAGCCATCCTCATTCCACTGAGGTACTGTCAAAGCAGTCAGGGTTTTTTCCATTTATTTGTTTGTTTCTTTTTGTTAGTTTGTTTGGTTCAGGGGATTCAACTCAGCTACAGCTATAACCCTTGAGCTTTTGAATGTTATCTGCCTTTACGTCTTTGTTGTTTTTATCTAATAGAATTCTGAAACATTAACAACTATTAATTTGGTGCAAATAGAAAATGAAAAACCATCTTTAGTTATAGTTTAACATTTTTTCTTAGTGTTTTCCTTTTACATCGTGTATTATTTCTATAACCTAGTAGCATATGAAATAATACAGAAATACTTTTCTACTTTTAACATAGGACTAACACTTTAATATTAAGCCTGAACTTTCTTAGTTTCTGAATGGTCTATAGGTCTTTGCTTTTATATCACTGAAAGTAGTACTTTATCCTTACAAGTTTGTCACAAAATACTGTTTTGTAGTTATTAGTGTAAAGAAAAGAAAATCATGTTTAATAACTGCTGTTTCTTTTTATACATTAGAAAATTGATAAAACCATATAATTAAATATTTCATACTCTTTGAAAATGTTTGCTGATTGCTTTGAAATTGCCTTGATTCATTGGGTAAGGCTCTTGCTGTTAAGCCTGATGGTCTCAGTTTGATCCCCAGAATCCACTCACCTAGTAGAGGAGAAAACCAGCATCTGAAAGTTCTCATGGCACATACATAAACACAATAAATTAATAAAGTTTTAATAAAGAATTATGTAATTTGCAATGGTGCTTCCATTGGAAATAAAAGACTGCATTTTAAGGCCTTGGTGGCTGGTGCTTATTCTTTCTGATGAAAGTTTTATTTCTTAATGTACTTAGTATAGCCTTCTCACAGACCTTTTATAGCCTTTCCCTTATAAGTAAGAAGATGAATTTGTGTTCATGTACTGTAGGTATGGAAAAGGTAAATTTATATGCCTATGTGGACATTATGTACTTTTCTGAGAATTCTCAATTGTTTTCCTTTACTCTAGTTCTAAAATACAGAGGGGAATAGTATTCCATGTCTATTGGGGATGACTGGGTCCATGTTTTTCGACTATACTTTGGTTTTAGAAACTGGAATTAAATTTTATTTTTTTATTACATTTGTGTGTGTGTGAGCGTATGTATGTGTGTATATGTGTACATATGTTGAGTATGCATATGGAAATTTAGAGAACAACTCGCAGGACTCAGGATCCTCCTGGATCTTGAGTTGGAGATGTATGTGAGCTGCCATCTGGGCACAAGGAATTGAACCCAGGTTCTCTGGAAGAGCAGCCAGTATTCTTAACCATTGAGCCATCTTTCTACCCTCCCCCATTTAAATTTTAAAACAGTAGGACACCTAATATTATTGATAAATGACCCTTAACATTATCAAAAAGATAATCATTAGTTTTTCAGTATATTTAATATCTTGAACTCTCTGGGGAATACAGCTTAATGGTAGAGTGTTTACCAAGGTTCATAAAGCCCTATGTTTAACCTTGATTATTGTAAAATAGGGGGGAAAACCCTTAAGCTCTGCTGGTTTCAAAACCTGACTTTACCACATAATAAAATAACAAAGGTCAGGTTTTCTTAACACCCTGTTCCTTTCTTTGTATAGCTGCGAAATAAGAATTGTAATAATACCTGGCTCATAGAAAGACTGGAGTGATGTATATAAAGTAGTTAGCATAGTACTATGTATCATGTATTTTGACTTAAAGCTAAAGATTAACTTCTTTCAGTTTGAAATATCTAATTTTTTCAAAAGCATGCCTTTTTCTTATGTATTTTACTAGATTACAAACTTACCTTGATCTACAATTTAGTGCCTCTGATAGCTACATTAATATATTTGAATATTAAACCTTCCTGGTTGTTGTTTATAAGAATACTTACTGTTTGAATTTATTTTTAAAAAATCTTATGTACTATAAAGGCATTCATAAAATGTCCTTGAATTAGAAAAGCAGAACTACATGAGTTATCCCACATTTTAGAGCTTCAGAAAGTACAATTTAGTACTGGAAAAAATCAATTTAAAGTAAGCCATCAGAGACTTACCACTAAAATTTTAACCTGGAAGGATCTTTCTTCTAATTATGTTTTCAGAAGTAAGCTTTTAATAGAATGAAATACATTGCCATTTTGTTAATGTGTTCCTCATGTTTCATCCATTGAATTACGGGATATATGACAGAATTCCATCCAACATTATTATTATGGCACAAAGCACAAACAGCAAAAAATGAGCTTCAGCTGTTTGGGTGAAAATGTAAAACTGTGATCGGATGATGGAAAGAATGCCCATGACCACTGTGTATTCATTTGGGGGGAAAATAGTCTTCAAATATTTACCCAACCCACTTTTTCCCTGTGTATCACCTTTCTAAAGATGTAAGAACATTGTGTTAACACTGATGCTTTACAGCTCCATGCTTACATCACAGTTTAGTGACCATAGGTTACAAAGACTGGAACTTGACTGCATCTCTTCCAAAATTTCTTCTACTGAGATGATACACTTTGATACACTTGATAAGTTTGTATGTTTTACATTAAAACACAAATTTCTAATTTATGTTACTGGCATGAAGAATTTACGTTGACACTGTGGAACAAACAAACTTTATGGGTCAATTTTCTCTGATATTTGTTGTTCATGGGTTTTGTACTTTTTTTTACATTCTAATGTTTATGAAGCTGGAATTCAAAAATGTCAATTATCTTTCTACATAGTAAAATTAATTGAATTGCTTCCTAGTTTATCTGTCTGTATCATTGATTGATGAATAACAATCTTAAGAGTAAATGTGCTTATTTACATTCAGATAGAACTCAGCCTCGGGTTTAGGTTCTAAACAACTTCCTTTGCCTCTTTTCTGTGGCCTGAGAAACTAATCCCATGTCCCAAATTCACTCCAGCAACACTCAGGCTCCTTTTATTGAACAGAATATTTTTAAAGCCACTATGTGATGGCAGAGGACAAAGAGGGTCTTGAAATGCCACCCTTTATGGATAGAAGGGAATATTATGTCATACTCTGACAGTGACTTCATCACATCTGGGTTTTACTGAGTACAAGACTGAAGTCTTTTCATTGTAACAATTTGACGTTGTGGTCTGTGGTTACAGTATTTCTTTAATACGACTTTTTAGCCGTATCCTGAAGAGATCATGAGATCTAAACACTAGAGTTGAAGGTAGTTGTTTCTGTATATTAAATGAGATTGATTCATTCAGTTGTTTTGTTAGGTGAAGATGGAATCAACGTAGGAGAAGATGGAAAAACAAAGAAAAGTCAGAAGGACGATGAAGAACAAATTGCTAAATATAGACAGCTCTTGCAGGTTATTCAAGAAAAAGAAAAGAAAGGAAAAGAAAATGATATGGAAATGGAAATCAAGTGGGTTCCAGGTAAGAATTTGATATTAAGTAAAAGTTTTCTCCTGAATGTATTTAGTAAGATGCTAACTCTTCTTTAGAAGCACACTTTTAAAAGAGTTTATTTTCCAGAAATGTTCTGGTAAAGAAATAGTATTTAATTTACCTCAGAATTAACATTTCACTTTTTTAATGTTTATTTAAAAATATTTTGTCATACCATACATTTTGATCATATTCTTTCCCCTCTCCCTACTCCTCTGAGATCTTCCCATATACCTACCCACTCAGACTTCATGTTTGCTCTCAAAAAAGGAAAGAAAAACAGTTTTTCAAAAAAGAAAATAAAACATACACACACTCAATAAAATAAAATGCACAAAAACCAGACAAACAAACCCCATCATATCTATTTTGTATTCGCCAACTACTCCCTAGCGTGGGGCCTGCCCTAGTGTATGTGCACTTCCCCTTCCCAGTGCTGGGATTTTGCCTGATGTGAACCTGTGAAGGCCCTGTACATGCCATCACAGTCTCTGTGAGCTCATGTGTGCCAATCCTGCTGGGTCTGGGAAGGATATTTCCTTGGAGTCATCCATTCCTTCTGGCTCTTGAAATCTCTACTTCCTCTTACCCATGGATCCCTGAGCCATAGATATTTTATACTCTTTCCAGCTTCCATTTGCTTAGTTTTTTGGTTTTACTAACTATAAATTATTTCTGTCTAATTATAAGCATAGACTTTTCCTGGGTTTGATTCTTTAATTTAGAATATAGAAAGTTGAAGCCAAGTACT